CAGCCGAAGCTGGCGAAGACTCCGGAGGCGGAGGTGGAGGCGCAGCCCGCTGCACTGCCTCCATACCTGACACTCAAGCGACAACAAACTGCGGCCATGCTGAACTTTCGAGCACGCAAATCTGTGTCCCAAATGGACTTTAAGGAGGCACGGCGTACCGGCAACTATCAGCTGGTGGCACATGTGCCCAACTCGAACGCCCTGGTGCCGGCCGGCCAGCACGAGAGTAAGCTGACCATCAAGGATGACAGCCTTACCCAATTGCTGATGCAGGACGCCGCCCAGCTGTGCAGCGCGCGACAGGGCAATGTGCGCTTTGTGGTCAACGGAGATCAGGATGTGCGCATTGCCAGTCTGCGCATCTTCAATACCATCATGCTGCGCTCCTGGCGCCGCCGGCGGGAGGAGGTACGGCATCTTAGCGAACAGGTCGAGGATTTCAAGCGTAGCGTAAGTCCACAATATTCTATTGGAGGCGACTTTCTTATAAGCATTCTTTTATTGTAGTTTGTGAAGAGTCGCAATCAGCTGCATGTCTACAACACGCTGTTCGCGGTGGAGAAGCGTCGCAACGATACGCTGAACGATCAGCTGAAGCAATCCTACATGGACAGTGCCAAGACCAAGATGTCTTACAATGAGCTCAACATTCTGCTGACCCAAACCAACCAGGAGAAGCAGCAGCTGGCGCAGGAGAACGCCTACAAGACGCAGGAAATTGAGAATCTGCAGGAGCTGCTGCAATCGACCAAAAAGGAACTGTTCCAGGCGAACACGCTGCAGCGGGAGCAGCTCGAGCAGCTGGCACGCGTCCAGATCGAGTGCCAGGCTGCCAAGTTCGACATCGAGGAGCTGACGGGTCAGTTGCATGCCCTGAGAACCGAATTGGCAGAGAAGCAAGAATATGTGGAGAAGCTGCGTGACAATATTGCCCTCATTGCCGAGGAGCTGCAGCTGTCCCGCACAAGCCTGGTTGAGCACAAGTGCGAAAAGGAGCTACAAATCAGGTGAGATTCCTCACTAAATCAAAGATAAACCTATTGACTTACTATTTCTCCCACTTAGTAAACTGATAAAACTCTCGGACGAGCTTGAAAAGGACATCAAGCTGAAGGACGAACAGCTGCTCACGCTGCAGAACTGCCTCGCCGCCACGGTGGGTCAGCGCATCCGCCAGTGCTTCGCCCAGAGCCAGGCCTACCAACATGCCACCTACCGTCTCATGCACTTTGTCGCCTACTGCATGCTGCCCGGCACGCCCCCGCCAGCCTTGCCCATGTCCTCCATTCCGTGTGCCGTCAAAAAGCTGCGTGGACTTTTCCATGGCGGCGCCCCAGAGGCCAACGGAGAGCCGAGGACAGCCGGGCAATCAGAAAATAAAATTTCAAATTTCAAGTAGGCATTTGTTTATAATTTATAATTGCACGTTCTGTTCTTTTTGGCGTTCCTTGACGTTCTTATTGGTATTTCATTTATTTTCTATTTAGAAACGGAATTCAAGTAAACAATTAAAATTGTTTTGTTCACTAAAAGGTTGGTTATTCCACTTAATTAAAATATTGGTTTAGCTTTAACAGTCAAGGAAAGAATTTAACATTTTTAGCAGGTAGTTTTTATACCCTGAACCCATTAGAAAATAGGTAAAAAGGGTATTATGTATTTGTGCAAATGTATGTAACAGGCAGAAGGCAGCATCTCCGACCCCATAAATTATATACTTATATTGATCAGCATCAATAGCTGAGTCGATTTAGCCATGTCCGTCTGTCTGTCCGTCCGTATGTATGAACGCAAGGATCTCAGAACCTATAAGAGCTAGAGACTTGAAATTTGGAACGTAGGTCGTCCCAGTATGAGTTTCTTTCCGATATTCGATAACTTGCCCCGTCTCCAAGTAATCGATATAAATCGATATCGAAATCTGGTTTTTTGAGCAATTTTGGTAAATAATAAGAGCTAGAGTCGCCAAACTTGACATGTAGCTTCTAGAATAGTATATATATATCAAGTATCTTTCATTTTATACCTATCGCCTGTTGGAAGAAGAAGGTTCAGGATATCCCCTAGTCGGGAGCTCCGGACTAGAACCTCTTACTTGTTTACAATTGATAATGCTACCTCCTGTTTTTTGGCGTGCCTTGACGTGCTTATTTGTATTAAATTTTACTGAATGTAAAATATTGGTTAAGTTTTAACGAGGTTTGCAGTCAAGGAAAGACATTAGCTAGGGGCTTGGGTTATGCCACATTAAAAACTTATTGAATACTGCTTTCTATATTAATTTTGAATCGCATCTGAACGAAATATGTAAAGTATATTATATTCGCAAGAAAAAGTTGTTATCAAAAATACATAAATTTCAAGCGCAGATTTAATCTAGAAGTCAAGCCATGACCGCAATGTTATCAGCCAAGAAAATCGCCCCAGTTTTGCAATTGATTAGAAAAGATTGTAAATGTGTACTTCTAAAACGATTAATTTATTCGTATTGAAAATATTATGCTAAAAACACACACAGATTTTACATTTGTATAAAACACGACTTATGGACTAACAACAGAGTTTAGTAAGTAAGGTATTACGTAGATATTGATAGATTTGATATTTGCAGATCTTCTGAATTGAGGCGCAGCATTTGCTGATCCTCCGAGTTAATGCGAACCAGCTGCTCGCTGTCGAAGCTGAGCAGGTTGCTGATCGTGGGACCATTCTCATTGTTGTTGTTGTTGTTGGTGTTGTTGTTGCTGTTGTCGTTGTTGTTGTTGTTGACGTTGACAGAAACATTGTTGTCGTACTGCTGATGCATGGGCGTAATGTGCTGCTGCAACTGTTGCTGCTGCAGGGTATGTTGATTTTGCTGCAAATAATAAAAGCATTATTAACCGGAAGAGAGTGGATGCCAGGTTTGTGAGCTTACCAAGTGATTCGTGGTCAGATTCCATTGCAGATTGCTGGCCGCGCCTGCGCCTGAAGTCAGCAGATTGTGCATGGTAAACGGATTGTTGAGATTACTTAAATTGTTGCCGTTGCCAACAGCAACAGTCGCTGGCGCCGCCGACACCGCGGCAGCAGCAGCCACAGCAGCTGCTGAGAATTTGCTCTCCCAATGCGTGGCACTGCCAGCGCTGACAAACGGATTTGGATTGGGATTATATTGCAGCTGTTGATGTTGCTGCTGCTGCTGTTGATGCTGCTGCTGCTGCTGTTGTTGCTGTTGCTGCTGTTGCTGTTGTTGTTGCTGATGCTGTGCCAGCAATTGTTGCGTAAAGGGATTGTAGTTGTTGCCCAACTCCAAGTTGCCAGCACCGCCAGCTGCATATTGTTGCTGCTGCTGTTGCTGTTGCTGGTGATGATTGGGCGACATCAACTGTTGCTGTTGCTGCTGCTGCTGTTGGCCATTGCCGGAGCCTGCCGCTGCCATGTTGTAGGGCGACGGTGTGCTGTTCTGATTGTAATTGCTTGCGGGGGACAATGGCTGCGGCGAGGGCGTTAATTCTGGCGGCGCCCGATATAAGCCAAATGGCTGTGGTGAGGTATCTACAAAATTGCAAACATTTTATTAGCATTTAGTTTATGAGCTGTCAAGTTGTGCTCACCTCTCGGTTCGGTTTTAATGGGCGGTATGTTCTGCGCGTTCCAACAGTTCATGTTGTTTTGTCCTAAAAGCAGTGCACAAATATGTTAGCAAAAATTAAAGCACTTAATAAATAGAAAATATTAAATAAAATAAACATAAGCATAAAGCAACAAAAGCTGAGAACATAAAAAAACTAAGATCTTACTTAAAGCAAAAAAAAAAATAAGTAACAAAAAAAGAGAATTAGACAAAGGGCAAACTAAAATCTTATTTATAGCAAAAATATAAAAAGCCAAAAAAAAAATGTATAAAAAAATTATGTTATATTATAATTTGAAGATTTTGTAAAGAAATTTTGAACTCATGCAAAATTTGTCGTGCTCAAAACTTACTCCGTTCAATTGTTTCTCTAGCGCGACAATATAAAAACTTTAACATTCGAATTTTTCGATATATATATATATATTTTTTTTTATTAATCTACATGTTTTATAAAATAGTTTTTGATTACTTTTAATATTCAATAATTTGTTTTTGTATAAAAATATCAATTTTTTTTTTCGTGTTTTATGCCCGATTAGCAAAGCGACAAATATTTTTTTTTTTTTTCTTAAAATTCCAACAACAATATTGCTACATATATATTTCTACTACGTATTTTTATTAAATATAGTTTGTATTTATTTTTGCATATTGTGCATTTTCTTTATCGTTTTAGATAACTTGAATATTTGCTAATAGTCTATACGATTAATACATCATAGAGCTTGCCAAGTCTTTGGTTTGGTACGAGCATACTTTAATAGGTAGGATCAGTTGATTTTTTGAAAATCAATTATCTAATCGATGTCTTCAAGCAGCATTGACACATTCAAAAAAACTGCGCTCGGGCAGTCTATAAATCCAGCACACAAAAAACACACCTGACAAAAAACACCACACGGATAAAGTGGACAAACTGGACAAGGACGGGCAAAAACCAGCACCACAAAAGACAAAGCCCGCAACCAGGTGAGTGAAAAATTTCGAATTAACTTACTACCATCCTGATGATCATTGTGATGCTGTTGTTTCTGCTGCTGCTGGAGCAGCAGGTGCATGGGATCGCCGCCAGTCTTTTGACGTTTCCGCCTCAGGTGTGCTGGATCTATAAAAAAGAGTTTATAAATGGGGACAAATTGTTTAATTGCCAAACGATGCACAAGTCTTGACTCGGTTTAAGATTACTTAGACAGTTCTATTAAATACAAAATCGGGCGCACATTTCCGGCGGCCCCTCAAAACAAATCGCGCAGCGATTTTCCCCGCGGGGAAAACTCGCTGCTGCACAAATCAAATTTCGTTGGGTAGTTGCGACTACGAGGAAAATAGGGCATACCTATCTGGTACGCGGTTCAACAAATCTAAAACAAATACAATTACAAATTTGGGGAGCTCGTCGATTTCCCCGCTGCCAAGTGTAAAATTCTGCCAGGATGCAGGATCCTCCGCAGCTGACCTAACAAATTGTTTTGGTCGATCAAAAAAATTACAATATTCAATTTCAAGTTCAATTCAAAATTAATTGCCGCCATTTGCCGCCGCCAAGCGTTTGGCCACCTGGTCAGGTGTAAGGATTTCGCCGGCATCCACCTGGGCATAGTAGGCGGAGGTCTCGTCGAACTCGCTGGCCGTCGCCTGGGGCGGCACACTTGTATAGAGCGCAAAGTGTTCGACCTCGGTGAGATCGAGATTGGGATCCATTTTGACATTGAAGTGCGCCTCGATGGAGCTGACCAAATTGTGCAGGCTCTGGCGATCGGCAATGGCCACCAGCTCCATGCCGCCCTCGCTGATGGGTATCTCGGCCAGCTGCAGTGCGGATGCAGTGCGTCTGTCCAACTGGCCGCCCACCGTAATTGTGCTGGCATTCGAATAGGCCTCATTGGGCGCCTGCTGCAGGCTGCTGGCGCTGTCGCCCTTCAAGGGTATGTGCACCACATCCGCATTCAGGTACGAGGGTCGCTTGCCCGACACGCTGCTCACGCTGCGTCCGCAGGGCTTCCCGGCCTTGCCGATCTTTCGCCCCGCCGCCCCGCCCACTGCAGGTGACTTCAACGGACCCGAGCTGACCGCAAGATTCGATTTGGCGGAGCGCTGCGAGGCGCGCAACGGATCGCGCACATTGAGATTATCCAGGCTGGCCGCTGCACTCGTTGCCTTGGAACAATTCTCGCTGCTCGGCTGCATTAGCTCCGGTTTGCTCTTGCGGCGCGAGAACAGCTTCGAGAAGAAGCCGGGCTTCTTTTGCCGCGGCAGCGTATTAAAGTTGGGATTCGATTTGCTTTTGGACTTGGTCTCCGGTGGCTGCGGCAGGCGTTTTGTTGGCGCCGCCGCCGGCTGAATGGGTATGCGGGGATGGATAATAGGCGGCGGCAGTCCACGTGGCTTCTCTCTCACCGGCGGCGGCGCCGCCGCCGCATCCCCGTTGTTAGCCTCTATCGAGCGATTCTCGGCATTGCTGTCCTGCTTGCGCAAACGCTTCGGCGGCAACGGCGGCAATTTCTCCTCCTCCGCGGCGGCGGCAAGCAGCTGGGCAGCCGCCAGTTCCAGCTGCGCCTGCTCCTGCTCCTGAATCCTCTCCTGCTGCTGTCGTTGTAGCTGCTCCTGCTGCAGCTGCTGCGAGTTGACCTCGACGGCATCGTAATGCTGCGCATCTTCTGGCGCACACTGGGACATGGGCGGCGTTGGCGGCATTAGATCCTCCATGGGTATATCGACCGGATGCTTGTAGGCGATCTGCAGGCTGGTGTAGGTGGCCGCATCATCGAAGCTGTCGTCCACCTGCATTGGCGGTCGGTCCATGCTCTGCAGCTCGTTCTGCAGCTCGTTCTGCAGCGTGTTGTTGTAGGTGTCGCGCTGCATCACAAAGTCCGTGTAGATCTCATCCAGCTCGGCCACCTGTTCCAGCAGCTCGTTGAGCGTCTTGTCCTCGTCCGTGGCGGCCACCTGTGTCTCGACTGTTGCCTCGGTGGCATCGCTGTCTGCGGCTTCGCCTTCGCCTTCGGCTTCCACTTCGAGTTCCACTTCGCCTTCAGCTAGACTTGGACTTGGCTCGTGGGGCTGTTCCTGCAGCTCGTTGGACTTCATCCACTCGTTGATTTTGTCGTTGGCCGTCAGCTGGTGCGGCTCTGGCGCTGCCATCTGCTGCTCCAACTCCAGTTGCTCCAATTCGCGCACCTTCTCATCGATAATCGTATCGATTTCCAGCTCCGTGCGCAAACGTTCCGCTTCCGCTTCTGCTTCCGCTTCTGCATCCGCTGCCTCCATATCCTGCGGCACCTCCGCCGCCGCCGCCGCTGGCGTCTCGTCAAACAGACGCGGCTCCGGCTGCTCCAAGGTGGGCGTATTTAGATCAATTACCTCAATCGTTGGCGGCTCGCGCTTGGCGGCGCCCGTATCGACCGATAGTATTTGCTGAAAGATGTCTTCATCGGGCTTCCGCTTGAGATGCCGATGAAGATTCCAGAACGTATGCCTACCTGAATCCAATGGCACATATTCAAAGGGCAGAGCCTCGCTGGTAACGCCGTCCGATGGTCGACGCAGCTGGATGAAAACCTGCGCGACAACAATTCGCATTAGTTCGGAGAGGAATTCTAGAGGATCTAGAGGATCGAGTGGCTCACCTTGGCGGGCTCCGTTATCTCCAGGCTGTGATAGCGCGGCGTCTTAAACGTAATGGCAGTCTGCTTGTGCACGTCCGTGTGCTGAAAATCCCCGAGAGCCTCCCACACCGTCTGGCCGTTCTTCTCCTCAAAGAAGCGCACCGTGATGTCCTCCTTGGCCACCTTCTCGCACAGCAATATGATTTGGGTATTGCCCAGCACGCTGGCCGAGCAGCTGCACAGCCGGCAAATGACCAGATCGGACATCGCTTTCTTATCGAAGATCGGCTCGGAGACAACGGGCGGCAGGGGCGATGTGAAGCGTCCCTTCTGCTCGCTCTCCATGAATACTTGAAAGCACAAACGCACCGAGTTCAGATCAATGCTCGACGGCTGGAAACGATGCGAGAACCCAGCTAAAAGGAATTGAATATTAATATATATATATACAGGAGTCTGGTCTGTATTTGTTGGGCACCTACTCTTGAACGGATCCACGCGAATCTCTTCGCGCGCCTTCAGCGCCGCTTCGATGTCCTTCTTCTTGACACATTGTATGCCCAGATTGCTGAACACGGCTCGCATTGTCTCGCTGCTGATCTCCAGTGTGCAGACGCCCTTCTTGCAGCCCTCCTTGCCCACCAGATTATGCGGATGTGGCCTATTGATGCAGAGAATGAGAGTTGGGTAAAACAATTTTATACAACTAAATAATGTCTTAACCTAAGATAACAAATGCTTGATATAAATATTTCTTACTTAATTTGTAGCAAAAGGTTGAAATTATTCAATTTAAGGAAGAGAGTTCGATCCCAAAACTTTGTTCTCTACATAGGAACAAGACCCAATTATTTCTAGCCTAGTCATATTGCAATTAACAATGGTTTTTACGGAATATTCTCGTTCGAACCACAAGATATTGCATATATTGTATTATATTATAAAATATGTTTAGGGTTTGTAACTATATCCTATAAACTATTAATATAAGAGTTAAGAAAGTCTATATAATAAAATTAAATAATATCTGACTGACAAGATAGATAGATTTAAGATAGCAAACCGAAGGCCATTGTAGCCAGTTCTTTTATATGTATCCAATCAACCTCGCTCCTCTACAGACATCAGCTATGATCTACAACAAATCTTGAACAATATATATATATATATTATTATGCTGATCTATTCGAGCTATTGGTGTGTATATTGCTAATACATAGGAACAAAACCTAATTACTTTAAGCCCAATTATATTACAATTTGGAAATATATTTTCCGAAATATCCCCGTTAAATACCCAGGATATTGTGTATATATTGTATTCTATTATAAAATATGTTTAAGGTTTGTAACTATCCTAACTATCCTATCCTATCCCAACTATCCTACCAACTATAATTATTAATATAAGTAGAAATAATGACAATACCCCCAAATATCTTGCTCCTCTATAGACTTCATATACAATTATCTCCATATCTTGAAAGATATATCTAATATTATGTAGATCAATTCGAGCTATTTGTGTCTTTATTATAATGTTTCATATTACCGATATGGCGTGTCCTTGGTGACACAGGAGACGACGACAACGGCGCGTCCCTTGTAGCCCACAATCTCGATGGTCGGATAGGTTTTGTTCTCGGGCGTGGAATTGACGCCGGGAATGGAGCCCGCCGAGCGTCCCTCGCATTCATAACGGAAACGCAACGCTTTTCCGGCTGGCTGCTCCGTAATCTTCACATACGGTTTCTTTCTCACGTTCTTGGTTGACTGTGACAATTGTTGAGTTTGTTGTTGCTGCTGCAGTTGTTGTTGTTGTTGTTGTTGTTGTTGCTGTTGCTGTTGCTGTTGCTGTTGCAGGCCATTGTAGTTGAGGTTCTGCTGCTGGGGATCACCTGCTGCACCCGCAGCGGCCAGATTATTTTGATTTGGAAACATTTCAAGGCCAAAATATTAGCTGAAAATGAAGATCGAACGGAAAATGGCTTCGTTTTAGTTCAGCTGCAAAAGAGACCCGTCCGAGAATTCTTGGCAGCCAATGACGCCGCCGGCGACAATGACGCCGCACACCAAAAATAATGCCCAATACGAATTTTCGTCTAGTTTCCGCGAAATTTTCTTCTTAAATATATACAAATTTAGTTTCATGGCATAGGTAAACAGACTAGACTCTGTGATTTATCCAAAACCTTACAGATTTGCAGTCTAGACAGAACTGAACACAGAAACTAAGAGAAAATCGAGAAAGAAGGCTATCTTCGGCACGCCGAAGATTTAATACCCTTGCAGACCGAACCTAAGGTAATGCAGGGAAGATTTTGCATAAAAGTAGGAAACATAGTGGAATTTATAAATGGCGAGTTTGGTTAAGATTAAGTTAAGATGTTAAACAAAAAAGTTGTTCATACAAGATCCTCATTTTCGACCGATCGTTCCTATGGCAGCTATATGATATAGTGGTTCGATGGAAATAAGATTTTGCATAAATGTAGGAAACATAGTGAAAGTTATAAATGGCGAGTTTGGTCAAGATATCTTGAAAAACAAAAAAGTTTTCCATGCAGCAACTTAATTTTCTACCGATCGTTCCTATGGCAGCTATATGATAAAGTAGTCCGATGCCGATAGGATTTTGCATTTATACGAGGAGCATAGTAAATTTAATAAATGCCGAATTTGGTCAAGATATCTGGATAAACAAAAAAATTTTTCATACAAGAAACTACTTTTCGACCGATCTTTCCTATGGCAGCTATAGTGATCCGATTCAGCCAATTCCGACATATGTACTGCGTGCAACAGCAAGAGGGACTCTTGCAAAGTTTCATGATGATAGCTTTACAATTAAGAGACTAATACGCATATAAACAGAGAGAGGGACATACGGACATGGCTATATCGGCTCGGCTGTTGATATACTTTATGGGGTCGGAGATGTCTCCTTCTACGAGTTACACATTTTACGACAATATTATAATACCCCCTGCAAGGGTATAATGATAAAACGTGGGCGTTTGTGTACGTTGTTGTTTTACATTCGAGTGTATAGACATTATATTACATTAGTTGATCCCCTCAAAAATGCAGTTGACCGAAAAATTGTGCCTGTTCATGTTCGTGGAACCGGCTGCTGGTCTGGGCCAGGCCAGGCCAGGCCGTAGCTTCGGACATTCATTTAAAAATAACAATTTGCGTAATGCGTGCGCGACAAAATGCTCCGCTGCGGATCTTTGTAGTACAAGTGCCCGACACGAGCAGATATATCTCTCGCAGGTAGCATAGTGTAGACATAGATATAGATGAGACATAGACAGATATAGACTCAGTCGGAGAGTGGCCTCCCCAAAGATTTCGCGTTCCAAAACAAAGTTGCGTTTTATCTGGGAATTGACTTAGGTTCTTTTTGTCGGCACTTTTATATCTTATATAAAAATATACTATAGCCATATGACCTCAGACTTTCGATTCACTCACGTCTAGACATTGGTCTGCCAATAAAAAGAATACGTCAATTGGTCTGCAACCTGGCATGGGGTAAATTAGAAGAAGCAAAAAAAAAAGAATAATAAACGCAAATAAACGTGTCTACGAGTTGCCAATTTTGTAATCTTTTGGGTAATTAATAAAGACTGAAGACATACAAAATCATTTGAGATTTTTTTTTGGACAATTTTTAACAGAATCTAAAAGACACATTAGCAGTATGCTCTCCGAAAAATCTCACACCAGGGAATAATTAAATATATTAATCATTTACTTTGAGATACATAAATTAATATATATATTTAATAGAAACTATTTGATTATAATTATAAATTGATTGCCCAAAATATTGCTTTAGATATAAGAAATGCTATAAATTGTGAATGAAACTATTTTCGCAGGAAACTAAATCCATCGGAAATGTGTTTTTGAAATACCCTAGACACATAAATCTTTTTGGAGGCAGCCAGCATATGTCTGTGTCTAAATAGACCTTTGAATATGAACTCGATCTGCCAGTTTAAATAATAGACAAAATCGGCATTTATCGCAAAAAGCAAAAAGCGAAGCAAATCCAATTCGCACGTCACACCAAATGTGCCTGTCATTTTCAATTTGGCTTTTACCGAGCACGCACATATATTTTATATACATATATTATATATACAATTTATATATAAGCTACATTAAAAGATCGTTGATATATTTCGAACATTGCTTTTATGTTTTTTCGACAATGTAGAACTCAATGCTCGATTCTCGAGGACAAACACACAATATTACAAAAATTACGTCATAAAATGTTGCAAATATGGAATTGGCTAAAAGCCAATATTTGTAATAACTGCAGATAAATATATATAGTCTACTATTTATTTAGCAGGCAGTTTTTCTCAATAATCACCTTTTACTGTATCTAGTTCAATTGTTTCTTAGCTCACAAAATGTTCCAAATTTTTCCGGTTTTCAAACAAACTTTTTTCAATTCTTTGGCTTTTTTATTTGTTAATAATAATTTCTTGAATGCCGCACTATATTTGATTTTCGTTTTGCGGTTTTGACCGGTTCGCGCAGGTACCGAAAAAAAGCGAAATTTTATATATATGCGAGCACGATTTTCCCAAACCACATATATACATATATATGAGTATATGTATAGTTATATATATTTGAATTTTATTTTCGAAACGCACGTCTTGAGTTCTCGCCTATCGGCCATAGACTGAGCAGCGAAAATGAAGGCGAGCAAATATTCATTCGAAAATTTTTGTATACGCGCTCCTC